AAAAAAATACAGACTATACGGATGCTTCACATAAACACTGTACCTATACACAGCTAACCTACTGACAGATTTTGACTATGAATATACTATATATAAATGTTTACCTATGCATAAATTAAAAAAAAAAAAATACAGACTATACGGATGCTTCACATAATACTGTACATGTGCAAAGAGAAACATCGTGAGTCAAGCAGCTGTTTGGACTCTCATTCTGACGGCACCCATTCACTACAGAGGATCCATTGGTGAGCAAGTGATTTAGTGCAACATTTCTCCAAATCTGTTCTGATAAAGAAACAAACTCATCTATATGTTAGATAGCCTGATGGTGAATACATTTTAAGCAAATTTAAATTTTTTGGGTGGAAATTACATTTCTGTTATCATTTAATCACCCTCATGTTGTTCCAAAAATCGTTTGACTTTCTTTTGAACTGGAAACACAAGAGATTTCAAAAATTTTTGAAGCTCATTATTAAGAAACATTACCTCATTATTAATAAAATTACTTTATAAGCTATCATTTTACTTCAAAATACCTAAGTCGTGGACTACTTTTATGTTTTAATGCTGCTTTACAACCTTTTTGGAAAAGGAAAAAGAGTGGTTATGTTTTGACGAAGAAAAAAAAACATCCAGTTTTGGTAAGTAAATGGATGAAAAATTCATAATTTCTGTGCACGTTGCAAAGATGCATCAATGACTCTGTTTTTAAATGACTAGGTTTCAAAATATTCATCATTCAACTCCATCAACCAGGTAGATTCGAACAGCTAATATTTTATTTTTTTTAATTATATTTTGCTCAAAATCAACCACAAACCAACGTGCCTTGACCCACACCTGTGGTATAATTTACATAATTACAACTTTCAGCCCATTGCACATGCAATGTTCATAAATAGAATTACACTTTTTTTTTTGTCTTTGAAATAACACAGAAGACGTTTTTCTGCAAATTTTGTGGCATGAGGCAACAACAACAATACAAGAACTCGAATCTAAACTCAAATCTCTTGTGAGGAACAGATTGCAATCC